GCGCCAAGACGGGCCAAGAGGCGACCAAGACTGTCCAAGAGGCCCCCAAGAGCGCCCCAAGAAGGCCCAAGAGGCCCCCAAGAAGGCCCCCAAACGGCCCAAGAGGGCGCCAAGACGGCCCAAGAGGCGCCAAGACGGCCCAAGACGGCCCCAGGACGGCCCCAAGAAGGCCCCAAGAGGCCCCCAAGAGAGCCCACAGACGGCCAAAGGCAGCCTAGTCCCTTCACCCCCGCAGCCCAGAAGCTCCCAGGAGGCCCCAAGAGGCCCCCGAAAAGCCCCAAAAGGTCTCCAAGAGGCACCCAAGAGGCTCCCCAAGAGCCCCCCAAGAGGCCCAAAATACTCCCAAAGGCTCTTAGCACCGCGGCTCCCAAGAGCGAGCGGTGACGTAATCGAGCTGATAAGACCAAAGCTCCCAACCGAGAGCTGCGACGTAATAAGTTCTTGACGCCAGGGCACAGGGACGGGCGGCAACGCGTGGATAACGAGCTGTCCACGCAAGGAAAACGCGGGGTTCTGGAAAGCTGGCAGCCCAACGCGGAAAACGCAACGCGACCCGACGGCCCCCTCCAAAACAAGAAACGCGCTCAAAGAAAGCTCCGCGACTCTCCGAGGCTGAGATAGGACAAGAGCGAGGGGAAGGGAGTCAATAAGAGGTGTAAGAGCGGACGAGCCAGCGATCTCGTGCGCTCTGAAAGTAAGTGCGCTTTCCGTCCCCGTGCCAAGCAGGTCTACTGGCCTTCGGCCCATCCCGCCACCGTGCATGGGTTGTGGGTCTGAGGCCTCGTGGACGTTCGTTGGGATCTCGTGCGAGGCCTCTCGGGGGCCTTTTGACGGCAGTTCTGAAGCTTATGGGGTGCCGGTTTAGGGCTTCTTTGGGCATCTTGGGGCCTCTTGGGGGCTTCCTGGACCTCTTGGGGGCCTCTTGGGGCCTCTTGGGCGCCTCTTGGAGCCTTCTGGGGTTCTGTTGAGGCGGAAGGTTCCGATTTTCGGTTCGTGGTCCCCCTCATGCGCCCCGTGTCATGCTGGGGCCCTCTTGGGCTGTCTTTGGTGCGTCTCTTGGGCCGTCTTGGGGCCCTGTTGGGCCATCTTGGGGGCCTCCTGGGGGCTTCTTGGGGTGTCAGGTGTCAATGTTTGGGGCTTTTTGGACCGTCTTGGAGCGTCGGAAAGCTGAAAAGGCGACAGGGCCAAACACTTTGAAAACTTCAGAAGTTCAGTGAATTTCGCTTCTTGGGGCCGCCTTGGGAGTGCTTTTGGAAGCTTGTTTTGAGCGTCTTGGAAGCCTCTTGGGCCGTCTGGGGACCACCTTCGGCGTCTTGGAGCGATCGTTCGGCGACTCGGGGCCTTCTGGGCTGTCTTGCGCACCTCTTGGGGCCCTCTTGGCCCGTGTTTGGGCCCTCTTGTATCCGAACAAGTCATGCGACAAGATGCCCTGGAACCCACGGGACACGTGACAAACCATGTCAATTTCGGCAATTTTGGGTCCAGGCCCCTATAAGAGACTCTTCAGGAGTGAGGATTAAGGCCTAGCGGATACGGGGAAGGACTTGAGGGCACGTCCACTCCGGGGCCAGAGACATGGTGGCGGATCTTTAACAACTGACCGTCAGTTAAATATAATCGACGGCCAGTTAAAGGTAACCGGCGGTCAGTTAAATGGAATTGATCGTCCGCCAGTTGAAGGCAAGTTGTCGTGAATTACCTTTATCCGACAGCCAGTTGAAGGAAACTTACTGCGCCCTAGCTGTAATTAAGTGAGCGTCGAATAAAGATAGTCCCCTTGTGGGGTGGGGGACGGGGTGGGGCGGGGCGGGGCGTAGGCCGAGTTGCTTGTAACCCGCCGTGTGAATTAAAGGTATCTGACGGTCAGTTAGTGGTAGCTGATGGTCAGTTTAAGGCACATAGCTGACGGTGAATTACCTTTAATTGACGGCTAGTTAAAGGTAGTTCACCATCAGTTACTTGTGACTGACGGTCCGTAACCATTTTGGCTCAAGCCCTTTTGGCTCAAACCATTCGTACGGTTCCAACCGCTGCATTGACATGAGGTCGTCCGCCATCGCGGCGCTGTTTTGTTTGCTGGGTTTCGCGGAAGCTATCCAGCTCGAGAGGACCGCCCCCCCACCACAATTTTGGGGGGATGAAATGCCTCTAGAGGATATGATGCGGCCAGGACCACTCGAAGCTGACGCGGAGATGTTCAAAGCCAAAGGCGGTGTCGTTCAAGACCTGCCTCGTCGTCTTCATCCTCTCCGTTTCTCAGCGCTGATTGTAATGTCACTGTGCAAAAATCGCGGCGGGGTGATGTCGGAGTTGGCCCGAGTGGTGAAATGTCTCGACACGAACAGCATCATGGTGAGGATCATACAGAAGTGCGGGGTAGATATCGGCGACTCCCCCTTGGGTCTCGGTTTCCCAGCCAAGAATATCCAGGCGATCAATCTCTCGAACGTTGGCCGTAATGATCATTCGTTTGCTTGGGCCTTGAGTGAATTTGACGGGG